TTGAATTGCTGCAGTCCATATGCTGTGGGTAGATCCACAATACTATTTGGGAGGGAGTTCCAGGATATTTGACTTCGTGACAGCGAAGGAACAGCAATATATTTCCAAGTCATGACGATGAGTAACTTGGAGGGAAACCTGTATCTGCTGCCCTTGCCCTTCTAGATGGTAGTGGTTTTGAGTTTGGGAAGTGCTGTCTAAGGAACTTCAGTAAATTTCTATGTGTATCTTCTATATGGTGCATGCTGCTGCTGCTGCAGCATTTGGTGTGAATGTTTCATGGTTTGGTAGTGTTTTGGTGCTTAGTCATAGAATCATAGAATTCCTACCCTGTGGAAGCAGGACACTTGGCTCACCAAGTCCACACCAACCCTCCAAAGAGCACCCCATCCAGATCCACTCCCTACTCTATCCCCATAACTCTGCATTCCCCATGGCTAACCCACCCAGTCTGCACATGCCTGGATGATATGGGGGAATTTAGCATGGCCAATCCACCCTAACCTGCACATCTTTGAACTGTGGGAGGAAACAGGAGCACCCAGAGGAAACCCATATTGACATGGGGAAAATGTGCAAACCCCACACAGTCACCCGAGGGTGGAATCGAACCTGGGTTCCTGCCGCTGTGAGGCAGCAGTGCTAACCACTGAGCCACTGTGCCATCCTCCTTGATGGGTGTTATGCTTCTTGGCTGTTGCTCAAGCTGCATTCATCCAGGCAAGTGGGCAGTATTCCACCACCCTCCCATCTTGTGCTTTGTAACTGATGGGCAGGGTTTGGTAACTCAGAAGATGAGTTATTTCCTGCAGGATTCCTAGTCTCTGTTCTGCCTTGTAGCTACAATATTTATATGGCTAGTCTAATTCAGTTTCTGATCAATGGTAACCCCCAGGGTGTTGATAGTGGGGTATTCAATGATGATAATGTGAAGGGGTGATGGTTTGATTCTCTCTAATTAGAGATGGTCATTGTCTGGCATTTGTGTAGTGTGAATGTGACTTGCCACTGTCAGCCTAATCCTGGATATTGGACATGAATTTCTTCACTATCTGAGGAGTCACAAATGACGCTGAACATTGTGCAATCATTAGCAAACATCCCCATTTCTGACCACGTGATGGACGGAAGCAACCGAAGATCACTAACTGGACTGGGACAGTTTGCTGCAGAAGGGAACAGATTCTGGGACATATAACTTCATTGCTATTGCTAGAATGTTGCTAGCCTGTGCAGCATCCAGTGGTTCCAGCCATTTCTTGATATCGCATGGAATGAATCAAAGTGGCTGAAGACTGACATCTGTGATGCTGGGGTGCTACAGAGGAAGCTAGAATGGACCACCAACCCGGCACTATTGGTTAAAGATTACTGTAAATGCTTCAGCCTTATCTTTTTCACTGATGAGCTGTGCTCTTCCACCATTGAGGATGGGGATGTTTATACAGCCTCCTTCTCCTGTTACTTGTTTAATTGTCCATTCGTGACTGGATATGGCAGGACTGTAGAACTTAAATCTGAAACATTGGTTGTGGAATCACTTAGCCCTGTCAATCATTTGCTGCATATATGAGTGTTCATACATACAAACAGCATCTCAATATGATATTAACCTTGCGCCAAATTCTTTGCAATTCCCTGGTGACATTTCATAAAAAGTCGAACGTGACGTTGCTCATCAACACATTTACATGCATGAAACAAGAACTTATATGTTTGGATCTGTCTTCATGCATAAGAAAATATCTGTTTTTTAAACTTGTGCTTCTATAGGTCTGAAAATGAGAGAATTGAGAAAGATGAGATTTCTATTTTAAATGTCTTTGAAAAGAATATATTAACAAGTTAGGAGATGGCATTTTACATCTAGATCTTGACACTAGTGGGTAGATTTTCTACAACAGAGCAAGAAAAATGCCTGAGAGCCTACATAATTGGAACAATACATGACTCAGACATGGTGACATCTAGAATCAAAGGACAGCAAATGCGTGACAAATGACGATAACGTCAGATCAGAGACTCTGAATGTTAGCCCATAAAGAGTCAATTAAAGAATAAGTAAAAATTCACACACAAAAAACAAATTTAATGTCAATTAATCTAGCTCCATCAGTTAGCTTACGAAACTAAGAATGTTGTCATGAATGCTGATCTTAGCAAGTTAGTAATAAAAAATAATTCAGCATGACTGACAGTAGTACGTAAGTCAATGCATTGAAACTACAAAAGAGCAAAAAATGCTTAATCTTTCTAATGCAATACGGAAGTTACTTGATTTATGTTTCCAGAGATTACGGGTGCATTTATGCTGTAGCTACATGCAGAATCCAGTCAGGAAGTGTGCTGTTTGTATTCCATGGCTCCAAATCAAGTTCTTGTAGCCAAGAGTGTTCTGTCAATGAATGCGTACACTGTAGTTATACACCATGCAGTGCACAAGAATGCCTCCACCAGGAGGATCTGCACACTACTCGACTATGGAGTTAGTGTGGAAAACGATAACAGATGTGAAACTAGATGAATGAAGTTCGACTTTCGAAAGCAAATACAATTTTAAAGATGACCCTTTCTGAAACGCTGAATGCTTTTATGATATCACAACCTATAAAACTAGGACGAGCTTAGCCTTAAAGGTATGGAGCTTTAAAGATCTTAACTTTCACTTGGTGGGTAAATTTAGTAATCTATGTCCATTTTTACCTTTCTGTTCAAATCTAGATTACTTACTATGCCACCTAACTTGGTCCATCAGCAAACCCAGACACAGTTCCTTTTTTAAAGTCACTGAGGCTCCACTACTGCTCCCTGAGAGACATGACTAGTCACATCCTGTGAACTGGACTATAAAGCTATTAGCCCTACTTTCTTATCTGCTAACCAAGTCACCAAACCCCGTCAGTGGAATTGCTTCACAACTTTTTAGCCATCTCTTTAAATAAACAAATGCCTTTTGGAAGTCTGTATAAATCATAACCAAACGCTCCTTAATTCGTGACCTTCATGACTACGTTCAGTAGACAGGATCTACCCTTTAAAAATGTATGCTGGCGCTGTCTGGTTAGTTTGCTTTAAGAGAACAAGGTTTGTATACTTTGAATGCATTAGAATGACAAATTTAATAATATTAGTTTCATTTAATTCTGTTATTCATAATCTCATAACTTGGCCTAGAATGCAAAGTGGAAAAACAGATGTAAGTTACAATGAATGACACCAACAGAATGTTAGCTTTTACTAATAGGAGTCTTACCATATAATGTAGTATTGTCCTTCAAATTGAGGGTTTTTATTTTTATTTTCTGGTACAACTGATCTGATGGTTCAGAACATTAGTAATCTAAAGAAGCTCATAACGCTGCCAATGCTACTGGTGTCGCACTGGGAACATCCCATGTAACCAATTTAGTCTACAAGATAGACAGCCCGTATCCTGTATCAGAAGGCAAGGAGGGCTGGTATTGCCAGCAATGTTCAAATAATAAGAATGAATACCAAAAGACTCAGACAGCAGTACAGATTCCACTTATTGTGTGACAAAATTTTACCGCATTAACCATAGCTCTAGTTTGCTAAGGAAAAGTTAGGGGTGGGGGAGGTGGGGGTAGCTGAAGGAGTGCTGTCGTTCAGGTGGGATCCACTCTGCCTTCTCAGGTAGACACAGAAGACAGCATGACTAATTTAGAGCATGGGAGTTATTCCTGATGTCCCTGTTAATACCTATCTTTCAACCAACATCACGAAAGACTGAGTTAGTGGTCACTTGTGCATGTGCGCAGCCAAACAGTTTTGTGGGGACATGGCCTGGGGGAGGTAGAGATCAGGACCCAGGAAGGGGATGCAGGAGTTGAGATTGGAACCCATACAGGAAGTAGGGGGTAGAGATTGCGATTTAAAGGGGGGTGTGTGGAGTGGTTGAGATTAGGACACAGGAAGTGGAAGCGCATATTGAGATTGGGACCCGGGAAGTGAGACTGAAATAACTGCACATAGGCTGGTATCCTGTCACCAAGTCACCCCTTATTTACACGTGGAGGGTCCTTGACACTGATCCAGCTCCCTCAGAGCCAGCTCTCAGCATGAGCAGGATGTCTAATACTCCAGTTTATATCTGTCAGCCAGGGCTCCCTGATTGAACCAGATTAAAAGCCCCAATCAGGGAACTCATATTCTATGAGGTCCACCTGGCTGATCTCGTTACAGTCACTACAGTAGTGATTGGCATCCAGGGAAATGGGGAGAAGATAGAGTTTGGGACCCAGGAAAGTTGGGGGGGGGGGTTACGGGTGGTGAGGGGTAGATTGTGACTCAGCTTGGGAAGAAGAGTTCTGGGCTGGAGGAGATCAAAACCTGGGAAAATGGAGGGGTGGGGGAGAGATTGGGATGAGGAAGAGAACCAGAGGAGGGATGGAAGGGGAAACAGAGCTAAGGAGAATGCAGATGAAGGGTGACAGAGGGCCTCCCTGCTCCTGGGCCCTCCTTGTTGCCCCCAGAATCCTGAGCCCTCCTTGTCACATCCCCCCATTCCCACAAGTCCTAGGCCCACCTTATTGCTCCTTACTCCCTCGCGGCTGGGCCCACTTCCCTCCTCACTCCAGGGGCATTATCTTGTCCCGCAGCCAACATCCCCTCTCCCCACCACTGAACCCCATTTCAAAATCACACAGGCGGCCCTGCACATGCACAGTACTGCATTTGCGTATGAAGTCACAGGTAAATTCTACATGATGATATATTGGATTTTGAACCATGCGCCTACATATTTCTGAATGAACGCAAATGCATAGTTTCCCACAGTTGCCAGTGTCAGCCATCAGAAAAAGGATTATCTGGTCATTATCACGTTGCTGTTTGCTATTTCCAACCTTGCAACAGCAACTACATTTCAAAAAGTGCTTTGAGTTGTCTGATGGTTGTGAAAGTGCAGTATCAGTGCACAATTTTCTTTTGTCTTATTTCAGTTTGAATAACACTGGTGTTAAAATAATGTGAGTACATACCATGGCTATTTTGAAGCCAAAGCCTGGTTCTCCCAAGACATTCTCCTTTGGAATTTTGCAGTCTTCAAAAATGAGATTTGTGGTGGATGATGCTCTAATTCCCAATTTATCTTCTTTCTTTCCCAAGGATAGCCCTGGTGTAGGCATTGGAACCAAGAATGCACTTATTCCCTGTGAACACAATGCAGGCAAAACATTTAAGATACAGTGGAATCAAAAATGGAATAAGTTATTTTAAAACATTTTCAATTTATTTATAAACCTTTCATAAACTTTGTGATCTTTATAAAATACGAGTTTGGTCTCAATGGTGTATTATGAAGGATGTGAAGGCATTAGAAGAGGTGTAGAAAATGATTATGAGAAAGTTTCCAAGGATGAGGAACTTCAGCTATACTGATAGGTTGGAGAAACTAAAGCTGTTCTCCTTAGAGAAGATTAAGTAGGAAATTGGGAGAAGTTTTCAAAAAGGTGACTGCTGTAGAGAGAGTAGATGGCAAAAACTGTACAAAAGAGTCAGGAACCAGAGGAGATAGTAAGAAATGCTGGAGTCAGAGATAACACAGTATGGAGCTGGAGGAACACAGCAGGCCAGGCAGCATCAGAGGAGCAGGAAAGTTGACATTTCGGGTTGGGACCCTTCTTCAGAAAAAAGGCCTGCTGTGTTCCTCAAGAGCCAGAGGACACCATTTTAAGGTCATTAGCAAAAGAAGCAATGGTAACATGAAAACAAACATTTTTACAGAGTGAGTGGTTAGGATCCAGAATATACTGCCTGAGAGTATGTGGAGGCAAATTCAATCAAGGTCTTCAGTAAAGAATTGGATAATTATCTGAATAAAAGAAATTGCGGGACTGTGCAGGTAAAGTTGGGGCATTGGGCCAGTTGAGTTGCTGTTGCAGAAATCACAGACTTGATTGTTTGATTGGCCTCTTTCTGTGCCATAACTGGTCTATGATTATGTTACTGTCTTCATGTTCTCCTGCCTACCCTGACCTCATTAATGCTAATGGTCCAATTGACATAGGACACGTCAGAACTACAGACACAACAAAATGCTTTCAATCTAATTACTTGTGTGTCATAGTTGGAGTTTTTCTCCATTTGTGTGGAAACAGCATTCCCTGCAAGCTTACAACCTCTCTGTAGCTAGGGCATTCTCAAGGGAAGTCAATCCTCTGGAACCACAGTTAACAAGAAGCAGACTGGAGAGAGAGAGAGAAAGAGGGAGAGAGAGCTGCATGGTCCTATAACTTTGATAATGTGCCCAAGCGTGAAACAAACACATAGGCAAAAGTTATTAAAATGGGTACTGAAAAATTACATACGGTGAGGTAAACAAGGCATTTTTAAAATAGCAAACACAATCTTGAAATTACATACTGGGTACTAGCATTAATAGAGTCAGGGTAGGCAGATATGACTGTATATAGGGAATGAAGGGAAGACTTCAAGTACGAAAACAAAAAAAAATTAAGATGGTACAAAAACAAAAAAAAAATTAAGATGAGTAGTTAGGTGAAATACAGAAGTTAATTGAACACCAATTTCAGACTAACAAGTGGCCAAATTAGGGGCAAATTTGTGTTGCTTTGAACCAAAAAGAGATGAGTTCAAACTGTGCCAGCACACTTTATATGGGGTTTCTCTGTTTATCAATTTAAGCTGGATTCAAACAAAGACCTCTGACATTAAAACAAAATGCTCACAGCATCATAGGCATTATAGTGTTGAAGAGGCCCATTCTGCATATATGACTCTGCTGATGCTAGCTGTTCAGCTGGAGCTACCTAATCTAATCTGCCCTTTTGATACACCAAATTTCACTTTAAATATCTACCTCCTCAGCAAATTGTGCAACCTGTTCTGCCATTCAATTAAATCTTGACAGACTGTTACTTCAACTTTATTTATCACCTTTGATTCAGATTCCTTGATAGCCTTGCTTATAGAGTTATAGAGTCAGACAGCACAGAAACAGACATTTTGGTCCTATTCATACACACTGACCAGACATGCCAATCTGACCTAGTCTCATTTGCCAGTATTTGGCCTATTTCCCTCTAAATCCTTCCTATTCATATATCCATTGAGATGTTTTTTAAATGCTGTAACTGTACCAGCCTCCAACACTTCCTCTGGCAGCTTGTTTCACACACGCACCCCCTCTGCATGAGAAAAGTATCACTCAGGTCCTCTTTAAATCTTTCCCCTCCCACCTTAAACATATGCCCTCTAGTTTGGACTCCCTCACCCTAGGAAAAAGCCCTCAGCTATTCACCCTATTTATGCCCCTCGTGATTTTATAAACCTCTATAAGGTTACCCCTCAGTCTCCGATGCTCTAGGGAATAAAGCCCCAGTCTATTCAGCCTCTCCTTGTAGCCCAAACCCTCCAGACCTGGCAACATCCTCGGAAATCTTTTCTGCACCCTCTCAAGTTTAACAACATCCTTCCTATAGAGGGGCAAGAGAATTGTACACAGTATTCCAAAAGTGGCCTCACCAATGTCCTGTATAGCCACAACATGCCATCCCAACTCCTACACTCAATGTTCTGACCAATGAAGGCGAGCGTACCAAGCACCTTCTTTATCACCTGTTTACCTGCAACTCTGCTTTCAAGAAACTATGCATCTGCACCCCTAGGTCTTTTTGTTTGGCAATGCTCCCCAGGACCTTACCATTAAGTGTATAAGTCCTGCCCTGAATTGCCTTACCAAAATGCAACACCTCATTTATCTAAATTAAACTCCATCTGCCACTCCTCAGCCCATTGTCCCAATCTGATCAAGGTCCCATTGTTCTCTGAGATTACCTTCTTCACTGTCAACCACACCACCTATTTTGGTGTCATCTGCAAACTTACTAACCATACCGCCTATATCCACATCTAAACCATTTATATAAATAACAAAAAGTAATTGACCCAGCTGTGGTCCTTATGGCACACCACTAGTCACAGGCCTCCAATTTGAAAATCTCTGATTTGATTTGATTTATTCTTGTCACACGCACCAATATACAGTGAAAAGAGTTGTTTTGCATGCTATCCAGATAAATCATACCTTACATAAGTACATCAGAGCAAGAGAACAGAATGCGGAGTACAGTGATATAGCTACAGAGAAGGTGCAGAAAAAGATCCACTCTAATATAGGAGAGGTCCGTTCATAAGTTTGATAACAGCGAGGAGAAAGCTGTTCTTGAATCTGTTGGTACGTGTTTTCAAATGTGGCATCTTCTGCCTGATGAAAGAGAGTGGTAAAGAGTATAACTGGGATGGGAGAGGTCATTACCAAGGCAGCAGGAAGTATAGATGGAGTCAGTGGTTGGAAGGCTGGTTTGTGTGATGGACTGGGCTGCATTCACAACTATCTAATTTCTTGTGGTCTTGGACAGAGCAGTTGCCATACCAAGCTGTGATGCATCCAGATAGGATGCTTTATATGGTGCATCTATAAAAATAACAGTCATTGTGGACATGCCAAATTTCCTTAGCCTTCTGCAGAAATAGAGGCGTTGGTGTGCTTTCTTGACTGTAGCGTTGGCGTGGATAGACCAGGACAGATTGCTAGTGATACTTACTCCGAGAAACTTGAAGCTCTTGACCATCTCCATCTGAGCACCGTTGATATCGATAGGGGCACGTCCTCCATTCTGCTTCCTGAAGTCGATAACCAGCTCCTTCATTTTGCTGACATTGAAGGAGAGATTGTTGACTTTACACCATACCACTAAGCTATCTATCACTTTCCTGTAATCTGTTGCATTGTTGTTTGAGATCTGATGAACTATGGTGGTGTCAGCAGCAAACTTGTAAATGGAGTTACAACAGAATTTGGCCACACAATTGTGAGTGTATAAGGAGTATAGTAAGGGGCTGAGTACACAGCTTTGCAGGGCACCGGTATTGAGGATTATCTTGGAGGAGGTGTTGTCGCCTATCTTTACTGATTGCGATCTGTGGATCAGGAAGTCGAGGATCCAGTTGCAAAAAGGGGAGCAGAGTCCTAGGTCTTGGATTTTGCAGATGAGTATCGACCCATCATGCCTAGTTCTTTGACAGTGTTGTTTAATTAATCCCAATCTCCTGCTTTTACCAAAGAATCCTGAACATTTTTGTCCTTCAAGAACCGACCCAATTTCTGTTTGTAAGTTACTCCTGAATCTGCTGTTTCCACCACTCTTTCAGCCAGTCTGTTCAGCCAATGGCAACTCGTTGTATAAACTGTTTTTCCTCATGTTGCCTTTGGCTCTTTAATCAATTACCGTAAATTTGAGCCCTCTGGTTTTTCTTTTTTCTCCAGAAGAGTCATAGTGGACACAAAATGTTAACTCTGTTTCTCTCTCCACAGATACTGCCAGACATGAGTTTCTCCAGCATTCTTGGTGTTTGTTTCAGATTTCCAACATTCACAGTGTTTTGCTTTTATTTCATTACATTCTTGCCTCCTTTCTAAAAAGAAACCAGTTGTTTGTCTTTCTCTCCCTCAGTCCATTTCATACCAAGCAGTCACTGCTCCTTTAATCCCATGAACTCCAATTTTGCTGGTGAGTTAATTATGAGCAAATTTATTAAATGTCTTTTGAAAGTCCAAATACAAATCAACTGCACTAACCATACTATAACCACCTCCATTGCTTCATCCAAGAAATTTTGGTGGTTACAGCAGGGGAAGTTAGCTCCAGATTTCCAGTGCCATTTATGAGAAAATATGCTTTCTTATTTCATTCCTAAACAGCCTAGTTTTGTTTTAATTATTCCTTCTTGTTTTGGATAACCTCACCAGAGGAAGTAGTTTCTCTCGAGTCAATCTTATGATTTTTGTCTAAGTTTCAGCTATGTTCAGTTTTTTGGAGGATTCGTCACTACTAGGCCAGAAAGATTTATTGCCATATCCTGCCAAACCCACCACTTTGATTATCCCTATGGAGTCTCACATGTAATGATTTCCATCCCATCCCAGGAATGGAACAGCTCACATTAACAACAGCCACAGATACCTTGAAATTCATTGGCATACAGTGAGTCCCCATCATATTTAAAAGATCACTGTGTGCCTGGACTTATTTTTTTCCTTTACTCATTCACAGGTTGAGGGTGTCACTGGCCAGGCAGCATTTATTGCCCATCCCTAATTGCCCAGAGGGTAAGGATGGCAGTTTCC